GAAAGGGCCACGCAAATATTACCTGTACGGTGCCTTTGGTTCCCAGATGAAAGGGCCACGCAAATATTACCTGTATGGTTCCTAAACCTGGTCCCTAGATGAAAGGGCCACGCCAATATCACCTGTACGGTGCCTTACCTGGTCCCTACATAATTTATGAAAGGCCCATGGAATTTTCCCGTACGGCGATTTACCATGGAGGTAGAAATGGTTTTACTGGTAACACGTTATCTAACGTTAGACCCAACTCCCTCACGCAGTCATTACCTGTAAGGTTTCCAGAGCTAAGAGCCGCACAAATGACTGTTTGTGGCTTATCCACCGAAGTGGAGTGATTATAGCCGTAAAGGTTGACGTTTTTTGCCCCTAAAAGCTGTGGATAAACGCCGGCAGCCCTCCCCACCGCTAGCTATCCCTCACTGTAGCAGCTGATACCCCGACCAATAGCAGCGTGGAGCTTGCTGAGAAATTGACCAATAGCGGCGTGGCCGTCTTTCGTGGCCGTCCTACCATATTCTAGGCCAAGCCATACCTCAAGAGATGTGTACAAACTGACAACAACTGGGATTTACTGCGATTTCCTCGGAAACCTGACAAGTTTTCAACATGCAACTCAAGCATATGAAGAACCTGCTCCCACCACAGGTACAGTTTATCTCAAGACTTCACTTTTTTTAGTGATCGACCTGTTTTATAGTTTGGGGGAGGGGGGCGTCGTTTGGCTCTGTTTCCATGACGAAAAACGAAGCCATCGATCAGGACCTGGTTTGTATTTTTTATTAACATTGCTTATAAGTTTGTTGATGGGCATTAACGGTAACATTTAGGATGAAGATTCAATGTCCAAATTTGCTTTAGTTACAGATATCGCTTTACTTTAGTAAATTATTTGCTGTCTATCGACAAGTTTATTATGTCTGCCCAAGGACATTATACACAGTGTATAATGTCCTTGGTCTGCCATATATATTATAAATTTAACGCTACTCCACTCTACGTTATGAAAAATGTTAGAGATCTTTCCCTTACCTTTTACATGTATTTCAATTATTTCTATTCCATTCAGTGAAAAGACTTTGACACCCTTGTTCATTTCAAAATTGATATTGAAACACGGCCTTTCCTTCCCAACTTTGTCAAACCCTTACCATTGGCTTACTCTATCACCTATGAAATGTCCTTTGATTGATGGTGATGATGTGTTGACAGGATGGTGCAGGGAAGGTGATGTGCCTGGCATGGTCCCCCAGCAATGCCAAACTGGCCGTGTGCACCGTGGACAGGGTCGTGCTTCTGTACGATGAGCAGGGAGAGAAGAGGGACAAGTTCTCCACCAAACCTGCAGACTCAAAGGTCGGTGAAGAAGTCTTCAACTTGTTTTTGTTATTTTCATCATCCATCTTGTAAAGTTGTACACAACCAGTGGAAGAGTTATCCCAACTGTTGATTGACTTCATTTGAGCTAATCTGGTTTGAGATCTCATTTATTTCATTTATTTATTTCGAAACCTTTTAGCCCCGAAGGGCTAATCTTCCAAGGCTCAAACAGTTAAAAATTACATAATTACAACATAGTAGAAACATTTAAAAATACATACATACATACATGTACACCACATCAACAATAAATACACATAGATATTAACAATTTAAAAGTAGCGAGCAAGATCATGTTCACTTTTCACTTTAATTACTATTATGTAATACTGACTTGTATCTGATTTGTCTCCCCAGTTTGGCAAGAAAAGCTACATGGTCAAGGCCATGGCATTTTCCCCTGACTCTGCCAAGATCGCAGTGGGACAGACAGACAACATCATCTATGTGTACAAGATTGGAGAAGAATGGTGTGTCACATTCATAATCACATTTGCACAATTTCACCTGAATTTTCAGTCACTTATCTGCCTTTTTTCAGTTAATTAATGA